GGAGATATCTTTGTGAAGAGCGTTTTAAACTACAAATTTAATTTCTTTGATATAAGGCTATTTGGGTTATCTGCTTCTTCTTGTGTAAGCTTTAGTAGTTTGTGTCTTTCAAGGAGTTTATTTCATGTAAGTTGCCAAATTTATTGTATAAAGTTGTTTATAGTATTTCATTGTTATCCTTTTAACATCGGTAGAATCAGCAGTGATGTCATCCCACTTATTCCTGATATTGGTAATTTGTGTCTTCTGTCTCTTTTTCCTGCCCAGTCTAGCTGGAGGTTTATCAATTTAATTGATCTTTTCAAAGAACCAGCTTCTGGCTTCATTGATTTTCCCTATTATTTTTTACTTTTCTGTTTCATCGATTTCCATTCTAATCTTTATTATTTCCTTTCTTCTATTTACTTTGGGTTCAACTTGCTCTTTCTTTCTTTCCTTCTTCTTTCCTTCTTTCTTTCTTTCTTTTCTTTCTTTCATTGAGATGGGGTCTCGTTATGTTGCCCAGGCTGGTCTTGAACTCCTGGGTTCAAATGATCCCCCCACCTGCCTCCCAAAGTCGTGAGCCACTGCACCAGGCCTCTTTCTAGTTTCTTAATGTGGAAGTTGAGGCTAGTGATTTGAACTTTTTTCCTTCTAGTATAGGAATTTAGTGTTATAAATTTCCCCCTTACTACTGTTTTTTGTGGCATCTCATAAATTTTGAAATGTTATATTTTCATTTTCATTCAGTTCAAAATGTTTTCTAATTTCCCTCTGGATTTCTTTTTTGGCCCATGGGTTATTTAGAAGTGTGTCATTTATCTTCCAAATATTTAGGGATATTTCAAAGATATTTCTGTTTTTGATTTATAATTCAGTTTCATTGGGATCAGAGAACATACTCTGTATGGCATAAATCCTTTTGAAATTATTGAGATTTGTTTTGTGGCCCAGAATATGGTCTGTTTGAATTAATGTTCTGTGTGCACTTAAAAATAATGTTGGCCAGGCGCGGTGGCTCACGCCTGTAATCCCAGCACTTTGGGAGGCCGAGGCGGGCGGATCATGAGGTCGAGAGATCGAGACCATTCTGGCCAACATGGTGAAATCCTATCTCTACTAAAATTCCAAAAAAAAAATTTATCTGGGTGTGGTGGCGCTCACCTGTAGTCCTAGCAACTCAGGCGGCTGAGGCAAGAGAATGGCGTGAACCTGGGAGGCGGAGGTTGCAGTGAGCTGAGATTGCGCCACTGCACTCCAGCCTGGCGACAGAGCGAGACTCCGTCTCAAAATAATAATAATAATAATAATAATAATGTTTATTTTGTTTATGAATGGAGTGATCTATAAATGTCAATTAAGTAAAATTGTTTGATAGTGTTATTCAAGTATTCTATATCATTAATGATTTTCTGTAGAGTTGTCTTATAAATTATTGAGAGAAGAGTATTGAAATATCATGCTATAATTATAGATTATTAAAATTTAAAATAATAACAGATCAAACACCAAATGTTGATGAAGACGCAGAGGTAGAAATGCAAAACAGTTTGGTCGTTTCTCATAAAGTTTCAATACACTTAACCATACAACCCAGTCGTTCTGCTTCTAAATACTTACCCAACAGAAATGAAAACAATGTTTAAAACAGCTTCATTCATAATCACCCAAAACTGACAATGACCCAAATGTCCTATAACTGGTGAATGGGTTAACAAACTATGACAGAGCCATACAGTGGAATAATACTCAGCAATAAAAAGAACAAACTACTGAAACATTCAACGACACAGATGAATCTAAAATTGATTATGCTAAGTGAAAGTTAGAATTTCACTCAGCTACATGTGTATGTTTCCATTTATGATAATCTGGAAAAGGCAAAACTATAGAGACAAAACAGATCAATGGCTGCCAGGGGTTAGGAGAAGGAAATAGAGTTTATTATGAGGAGACATGAGGTCGCTTTTTGGGGTAATGTCTATATCTTGATTGTGATACTAATTACACAATTCTATGCATTCATGAAACCTCATAGAACTATATACTTTTAAAACGTGCTTTTATCGGATGTAAATTACACTTCAAAAATCTGATTTTTAAAACAATCAAGCTTCTAAAAAAAACACTAGATATTATATTTAGGGGATAGTCAAAGACGTCTTTGAAAGATACAAAAAATGGGTGACATCAGCAAGATGGTAGAATAGGAAGATCCAGCACCTCCTTCCCCTTATGGAGACACTGACTGAACAACAGTACATGGACCAGAAACCAGGACCATTCATCCCAGATGAATGCAAAACAAACAAACAAACACACACACACACACACCAGCTGCACTGAAGCCAGTAGGAAAATTCATGGTGCTCACTTGTAATCCCTCCTCCTGGCTCAGTGAAGCAGATTGGGAAGGAACCCCCAGCTTCCAGCTTCTCCCTGGGAGGGAAAGACTGAGATGTACATCTAACATGCAGACTTTTCAGAGGGCTGCATGATGAACCAGTTTCTGTCTTGCCTGAATCTAAGCACTGACAGGAAGGGGCACCAGACTGGGCTACTAAGAACAAAGGTGACAATTTAGACTAGCATACACTCACTATCAGAGTCCCTCCTGCCGCTCTGAGGAATGAGTAGGGAAAATAACCCAACTTCCAGCTTCTCCCTGAGGAAGCAGATTTGGAGCATATATATCCAGTGTTAGCCTTTGTTAGCCTTTGAGGGGTACCCAAGAGACTGGTTTCTGTCTTGCCTCAGACTATTGAAAGACCTAGCATATTCTAGAGGCCTGGGGGAAGCTTGTAGCAGCTCTAGAGAACTTGCAGTACTCCAAACAGACACCAGAGGGAGCAAGAGATAATGGACTCCTAAAAAAAATAAACTTATGCACGTAAATTGCAAATTTACTGCCGCTAAAGAAATTGAGGTATATGAATTATTTGACAAAGAATTCTAAGTAACCATGATAAAAATGCTCAACAAGCTCAGAAACAATACATGAACAAAATGAGAATATTAGTGAGGACCCAGAAAATATAGAAAAGAACCAAACAGAGGCCAGCCATGGTGGCCCACAACTATAATCCCAACACTTTGGGAAGCTTAGGCGGGCGGATCACTTGAGCTCAGGAATTCAAGGCCAGCCTGGGCAACATGGTGAAACCCTGTCTCTACAAACAATAAAAAAAAATTAGCCAGGCGTGATGGCATGCACCTGTAGTCCCAGCTACTCAGGAGGCTGAGGTGGGAAGATCACTTGAGGCTGGGAGGTCAAGGCTTCAGTGAGCTGAATTCGTGCCACTGCACTCAAGCCTGGGTGGCAGAGCAAGACCCCATCTCGAAGAAAGAAAAAAAAAAAAATTCCAGAGCTAAAGATGAAAAATAAAATAATTGAATTCAAAGGTCATCTACAGTAGACTTGATCAAGCAGAAGGAAAAATCAGCAGACTTGAAGATATCCAGTCAAAGAAGCAAAAAGAAAAAAGAATTTTAAAGAGTAAAGAAAGCCTAAGGGATTTATGAGACATCGTCAAATGGACAATATATGCATTATGTAGTACCAGAAGGAGGAGAGAGAGAGAGAGAAAGGGACAAAAAGCTTATTTTAGTAAATAATGGCTGAAAATGTTTCAAATCTTAAAAAGGAAAAGAAACCTATATTTAAGAAGCTCAAGGGATTCCAACTAGGATAAAGTCAAAGTAATCCACAAGGAGACACATTATAAAAAGAACAAAAACTCGGCCAGGTGCAGTGCTGTAATCCCAGCACTTTGGGAGGCTGAGGCAGGCAGATCACGAGATCAGGAGAGCGAGACCATCCTGGCGAACACAGTGAAACCCCATCTCTACTACAAATACAAAAAATTAGCCGGGCGAGGTGGTGGGCGCCTGTAGGCCCAGCTAGTCAGGAGGCTGAGGCAGGAGAATGGCATGAATCCAGGAGGTAGAGCTTGCAGTAAGCCGAGATCACACCACTGTATTCCAGCCTAGGTGACACAGTGAGACTCTGTCACAAAAAAATAAATAAATAAATAATAAAAATAAAAAATAAAAAATAACAAAAACAAAAAAATCTCATCCAAAAATACTATATCCAGGAAAGTTGTCCTTTAAAAATGAAGGAAATATAAAACTTTTCCCAGATAAATAAAAACAAGAGGAGTTCATCACCATTAGACCTGCCTTTAAATAAATGCTAAAGGGACCCCTTCAAGTTGAAACAAAAGAATGCTAGGCAGGAACATGAAAGCATATGAAAATACAAAACTTTCTGATAAATGTACTTAGAAAAATACAGAATGCTGTAATACTGTAATGGTGGTACATAAGTCACCTTTAATTCTTTTTTTTTTTTCTTTTTTTAGACGGAGTCTCACTCTGTTGCCCAGGCTGGAGTGCAGTGGCATGATCTCGGCTCACTGCAACCTCTGCCTACCAGGTTCAAATGATTCTCCTGCCTCAGCCTCTCAAGTAGCTGGGATTACAGGAATGCACCACCATGCCCGGCTAATTTTTGTATTTTTAGTAGAGACAGGGCACTACAAAAAAAAAAAAAGGAAGACAGCACAGGAGGAAAAGGGGACAAAAAAGTGTTGGGATTAGAGGAGTGAGTCATCACACCTGGCCCTAATTGTTTCTTGACATGAACGGTGGCTATGTGGGGATGTGTTTACTTTGTCAAAATTCACCAAGCTGAACCCTTCGGGTTTGTATGGGGTTTTTTTTATATATACAATGCAACAATTAAGTTTATTTTTTAAAAGAGAAAGGAATATGCCTTATCAGATATATGATTTGCAAAATATACATAGGTGAATAATATTGGGTGAATGGGTGAATAGATGGAAGGACCATTTGCTGAACGGACAATTGGGCAGACTGTAATATTATTTAAGCAAAGGCATTTGCTGTGGCCTGAGAGTCCCTCCCCACAGAGTACAAAGTTCATACCAGCTTAAGTTCAGACAGGGACAGAGAAAAGAAGGGCCATGGGCATGGCTGAGCTTCAGCAGGACCCATACCAATGGCATCACCGGAGAGTTTCCAAGCCTTGACGTCCCGGTCCTGGCCAGCGCTGATAACCAACTGGAAGTTGTCCACATACAGGATGTCTGCCACACTATCCAAATGGCCCTTCCAGGTAATCAGGAGCGTGGGGGGAACCAGGGAAATGGTATGGCCAGCCACAACCTATAGGGGACAGTACAGGAGAAACACTTACACCAAGACCACTACACAGGCTAATCAGAAGGCACCTAAGACTGCAGGCTGCAGAGCCCAGCTGGAAGGGCCCTGGGACACTGGCTAGGGTTCTAGTTTTAGATGTGTTCCACATGAACTTACTTGTGACCTTACATAGGTCCCGACACTTCTCTGGCCCTCAGTGGCCCCTTAGGTAAAACCATAAAAAGCACTTGCATATGACCACATTGTTTACCAAGTGCCTGTATACATATTATTCCATTTGAACCTCACGACCTTATAGGAAATATATAATTCTCACTGACTTACAGAGGAGAAAAGTGAGAGTCAGACATGTTCAATGACTAGACCAAGCCCACATAGCTAGAAAGTGATGGGGCCAGGGCAAGAGCCTCAGTCTTCTGAAGCTTTTTAGTTGGGCATTGGGAGATGAATAGAATGAGCAATGGGGTGATAAATCACATTACAGTGAGAGAATAAAACTACTGAACTGGAAAATTAGTGAAAATGACCATTTTTAAATAAAACAAGATTAATAAAGGGGGACTTATTCGACCATATTCAAGTATGGAAAGTCAGAAAAATAAACTTTAAATTTTAAACAAAGCAATGGAAGACAATAGAAAGCTCAGAAACCAACCCGAATGTACGTAAAACTTTGGTATATAGTAAGAGTGGTAACAGAAAACATGACGCAATAAACAGTAGTGGGATACCTGATGAACTATAAGAGAAACCTATGTTGTTATCTTTTATCCTACAACAAAATAAATACTAGATGCATTGAAGATTTTATTTTCAATGAAATCATAAAACACCTACAAAAGAATGAATCAATGTTTATCTTTTCTCTAAGAAAGTGATAGGCAAATGAAAATATCACAATGGGAACAAAAACAGACTTGAACACCAAAAAATATATTGTAATTTTTAAATCATCATAAATAAAATTAACAAGCAAGTGACAAATTTGGGGGGATATTTATAATCCATATGATAGACAATGAGTTAATCTTTTCAAATATTTTTATTGCTTTTTTTTTTTTTAGAGATGGGGTCTCACTATGTTGCCCAGGCTGGTCTCGAACTCTTAGGCTCAAGCGATCCATCCACCTTGGCCTCCCAGAGAGCTGGGATTACAGGCATGATCCACCATGCCCAGCCTAATATATTTTTAACTAATTATACAACATTTATAAAAGATAGTTACCACAATGGAAAAGTAGGCAAAGGACATGAAGAGACAATTCACAAAGTTATACAAAGCCGACAGAATAAGAAAAGATGTCAATATCACTAATAAACAAAGGCATCTTAATTAAAATCAAAAGAAACCATTTGCACCTAAAAATCAACTAAAAATGTTTTGCTCACTTAGGACATTTATTTATTGAATGTCTTCTGTAAGAAAGACACTCTGATAGATCTAGAGGATCCTCAGACGAATACTACTAATAAATTCTTTAGGTTGTCAAAGATAAAACAAAACAGGCTAATGAAATGCAAAACTGTATAAACCTTCTGGAGTGCAATTTTGTAGCATACATGAAAGGCCTTAAAATGGCTTATGTTCTTTTACATACTCTCTCCTTGGGACAAATTACTAGATGTGCAAATAAACAACTATAAACAACAAAAAAAAAGGTTTGTGAAAAAGAATATTTGCACCATCATTTTTACAGATATCTAAACACAACTATATTGAACATAATTCACATATAATTTACCAATTTAAAGTGCTCATTCAATGGTTTTTGGTATATTCAGAGTTGTGCAACCACCACCACATTCTATTTTAGACCATTTCATCACCCCAGAAAGAAATTCTTTACCCAGGAGTCACCAGCCAATTCCCCCAACTCCCTCCCCCAGCCTCAGGAAACCACTAATCTACTTTCTAACTCTATAGAAAGTATAATGTGGACATTCTGGACATGTCATTTAAGCGGAATCACACAATATGTGGTATTTTGTGGTTGGCTTCTTTCACTTAGCATAGTATTTTCAAGGTTCATCCATGTTGTTGCATGCATCAGTACTTTATTCTTTATTATTAAATAACATTCCATTGTATCACTATACCACACTTTATCCATTTGGAAGTTGACATTTGGGTTGTTTCCACTTCTGTATTATTATAAATAATGCTACTATAAACATTCAAGTACAAGATTTTATGTGAACATGTTTTCATCTCTCTTGGGTATACACTTGGGAGTGGAACTGTTTGATCATATGGTAACTCTACACTTAATTTTTGAGGAACTGCCAGACTGTTCTCCAAAGTGACTGCAGCGTTCTACTTTTTTTTTTTTTTTTTTTTTTTTTAATGGAATTTGGAGTTTTGCTCTTGTTGCCCAGACTGGAGTGCAATGGTGTGATCTCTGCTCACTGCAACCTCCACCTCCCAGGTTCAAGCGATTCTCCTGCCTCAGCCTCCCAAGTAGCTGGGATTACAGGCACCTGTCACCATGCCCTACTAATTTTTGTATTGTTAGTAGAGACGGGGTTCCACCATGTTGGCTAGGCTGGTCTCAAACTCCTGACCTCATGATCCACCCGCCTCAGCCTCCCAAAGTGCTGGGATTACAGGCGTGAGCCACCGTGCCTGGCCAGCTTTCTACATTCTATCCAGCAATGTGTAAGAGTCCCAGTTTGTCCACATCCCAGCCAACCATTGCTATTATCTATAGTTATCCTGGCAAGTGTAAAGTGGGATCCCATTATAGTTTTGATATGCATTTCCCTGATAGCTAATGATGTTTAGCACCATTTAATATACTTATTAGCCATTTGTACATCTTCTTTGAAGAAATGTTTATTTAGATCCTTTACCCATATTTTAATTCGGTTATTTATCTTTTTTATCAAGTTGCAAGAGTTCTTTATATATTCTGGACACTAGTCCCTTATCAGATACATGATTTGCAAGTATTTTCTCTAAGGTTATCTTTTCACTTTCTTGATGGTATCCTTTGCACTCCAAAAGTTTTTAATTTTGACAAAGTCCAATTTATCTGTTTTTGTCTTTTGTAGCTTGTTTTTGCTGTCATATCTAAGATACACTGTCTAAGGTCACAAATACTTTGCACTTATTTTTTATTTTCTTCTAAAAGTCTTACAATTTCAGCTCTTACATTTAGGTCTATGATCCATTTGGAGTTATTTTTTTGTGTGTGTTATGAAGTAGGAGTCTAACTTCATTCTTCTAATACAGATAAAGTTATCCCTATTGTCCCAGCAGGACATTTTTTTTAAAATATATTATTTCTCCCCATTTGATTGTCTCAGCATTCTTGTCAAAAATCAATTGATCATAAACGTGAGAATTTATTTTTTAACTCTAAATTCTATTCCATTTATTTATACGTCTTTCTTTATGCCAGTATCACATTGTCTTCATTACTTAACTTCATATTCAGTTTTGAACTTGGGAATTGTGAATCCTTCAACTCTGTTCTTTCTTAAGATTTTTTTTTTATTACTAACTAGATCCTACTATCTCCAAAAAAGAAGGAAGGAAGGAAGGAAGGAAGGAAGGAAGGAAGGAAGGAAGGAAGGAAGGAAGGAAGGAAGGAAGGGAGGGAGGGAGGGAGGGAGGGAGGGAGGAAGGGGAGGGAAGGAGGAAGGCAGGCAGGCACAGTGGCTCATACCTGTAATCCTAGCACTTTGGGAGGCTGAGGCGAGTGGATCACCTGAGGTCAGGAGTTCAAGACTAGCCTGGCCAACATGGCAAAACCCCGTCTCTACTGAAAATACAAAAATTAGCCAGGCATGGTGGCAGGCACCTGTAATCCCAGCTACTCGGGAGGTTGAGGCAGGAGAATCGCTTGAATCTGGGAGGTGGAGGTTGCAGTGAACCAAGATGGTGCCACTGCACTCCAGCCTGGGTACCACAGCAAGACTTTGTCAAAGAAAAGAAAGAGAGAGAGAGAAGGAAAGAAGGAATGAGAGAAAGAAAAAGAGAGAGAGAGAGAAGGAAGGGAGGGAGGAAGGGAAGGGGGTAAGGAGGGAGGGAGGGAGAGAGGGAAGGAAGGAAGAAAAAAAGAAAAGAAAGCCAGCCGGCCGGGCGAGGTGGCTCATGCCTGCAATTCAAGCACTTTGAGAGGCCAAGGTGGGCGGACCACGAGGTCAGGAGTTCCAGAGCAGCCTGATCAATACAGTGAAACCCATCTCTACTAAAAATACAAAAAAATTAGTCAGGCACGGTGGCACACGCCTGTAGTCCCAGCTACTCCGGAGGCTGAGGCAGAAGAATCATTTGAACCTGGGAGGCGGAGGTTGCAGTGAGCTGAGATTGCGCCACTGCACTCCAGCTTGGGCAACAGAGTGAGACTGTCAAAAAGAAAGGAAGAGAGAGAGAGAGGAAGGAAGGAAGGAAGGAAGGAAGGAAGGAAGGAAGGAAGGAAGGAAGGAAGGAAGGAAGGAAGGAAGGAAGGAAGGAAGGGAGGGAGGGAGGGAGGGAGGGAGGGAGGGAGGGAGGGAGGGAGGGAGGGAAGAAGGGAGGGAGGGAAGGAGGGAAGGAGGGAAGAGAGAGAAAGAAAAAAGAAAAGAAAGGAAAAGAAGGAAGGGAGACAGAGAAAAGAAAGAAGGGAGAGAGAGAAAGAAGAAAAGAAAGAAAGAGAAAGAAAGAGAAAGAAAGAAAAGAAAGAAAGAAAGAAAGAAAGAAAGAAAGAAAGAAAGAAAGAAAGAAAGAAAGAAAGAAAGAGGAAGAGGAAAAGGAAAAGAAAAGAAGAGAAAGTAGCTGGGATTTTGATATAAATTGCATTAAATCAATTTGGGGAATATGCTATGTTAACAACATCCAGTCTTCCAGTCAATGAACATGAGATATATTTCCATTTATTTGGGTATTCTTTTATGTCTTTCAATAATGTTATACAATTTTTAGGGATCAAGTTTTGCACTACTTTTCCAAATTTATTCCTAAATTTTTTTGATGCGATTATAAGTGAAATTTTTATTCATTTTCAGATTGTTTATTGCTA